CACCCATTTATCTAATTTACTTTTATTAAGTAAACAAATTATGTTCTTCTTTATATATTCAGTTTCTTTGAATTAGAGACTGTGGCTACTGGATTTCTGGAGTGGTTCTGAATTTATTCTCGGAAGACGCTTGGGTTTTAGCTCACACTTACAAAACAGTATTTTCCCATTTCCTGCACATAATTAGGGGATATGAGCAAAACATCTCAATGGGGAACCTGGGGGTGGGGATTTGTTCTCCTGGTGCTCAGTAAATGCAAATTCGAGTCTAGTCTGGAAACACGGAAGAGGAAACCTCATACTCTTTGTACATCAGTTCTCCAGGATTGAGAGAGAGGTTTTTTTAAAAAATAGAACACATAAATTGTTTCTGATTCTGGGAATGAACTGGTGGTGGGTCTCCTCTCTCAAAGCCACCCACATGATTGCATTAGCACCTCTGAACCTGAGTCAAAAAAAAAAAAAAAAAAAAAAAAAAAGACAAGAAGAGCTATTTAGGGCAATTTAAGGGGTTTTAATTAAGAGTGAGGTAATAGAGCTTGTGATGGGAGGAAATGAAGAAAGAATCAAAGAATCGTCACTGGATAGCAGCCCCTGATTTCCTCCAGTTTGGTTGGTTCAAAGGAGGACTAATAGCCCAAGGCTAGTAGTAAAAACACCATCCTTCTAGCTCAATTAAGGCTAAGTGGGAGAAAATAGTAGGTAGCATGGACAGACCCTGTGCAAGGGAAGGGCCAGGATCCTGCCCCTGTTCCTTCCATTTTCTAGGCTCGGAGATTCAACCTGCATCTGCTGTCTGTTCACAGCTATAACAGTTTTATAAAACAGACTCTGTGAACTCTGCCTATTCAGTAAATATCTCTCATGTAACCTTGAATTTAGAAGAGGCTTGATTTGACTTTGAAATTACAGGGATTTTTATCACTTGATGAAATTAATAAGAAAAGAAAAGGGACCTGCTGAAGAGGGACCTCTTATTTTAATTTTACTTGTCTGAACTTGAACAAACAGTGAAATATTATTTTCCTGTAAGAAACTTGCAAGGAGTTGGTCTGTATTTCTCAGCAGCCTTTGGGAAGAAATGGGTTTGTATCTCTGGCCACGTCCTCATCCGCTGAAGATGACCAGGGCATAGAATGGCAAACTTTGTATGATTTTGAAAAAACACAAAAAAGTTGAGCCTTCATTACTCTCAAGACTTGCTGGTGTGGCCATGGCTACCACACAGGCCCATTCCTGGGTGAAAGAACACGACCACGCAGGTTTTGAGCTCCGATTCTTTTCCTTTCTCGCAGTGGCTGAGTCCATCACACTCATGGGGGACAAGACCGTGCGAGGACGGGCTGTCACCCCTTTGGGGGACACGATGGACATGGGGATGAGCTTTGCATGGCAGCAGCCACCCCTGATCCCATGGGCCACAATGAGCAGACTGAGTGTGGTCTGCAGACCCACAAATGGCTAAAAAAGTGTCATTCCCAGCTCCCTGCTCCCACAACGCCCAGTCTGTATGAATTCCCCCCTTCCTCCTGGGATTTTGCAGGTCTTTCTCCACCACAACCAGAGCCTGCATCTTCTGTCACTGATGCTTTTGTCCCTTCTTGTGTTTCTTTTGTTTTGTGTTCAAGGAAAAAATAACTGAAACCGTTGGGGACAGAAGCAGCCCCAGCCTGTCCCAGCTGCATCTCTGTTTCTTTCCAGTTAGATCATTCTTAGAGTAATGATTAAATAAGGGCTGATGCTGGAGTGAATTCCTTATCTAAGACTTTACATCACAAGTGCTCAGACTCTTTGGTTTGTCTTCTCTGCATCTTTAGCCAAAGGTCAAAAAGATTCTGGTTGGGCTCTTGTTTGCCGTGAGACTAAGCCGGAGGAGAGCCTGGCTCGTAAAGCCCTGAGCGGTGTTAAATACTGTGCACCAATGATGCTCTCCAGACCACTTCATCCCACGGGAGGAAAGAATCCATATAAAGTCTGGAAAAGCTTCCTCCTGCCTCGAAACAACAGCAAGAGCAGGGAAGTGTCCATCTGGCGACGGATGCTTCAGACAGCTCAAGGTGACTTTGACTTGGAAGATCTGTTACGGCTGTGGGGTGCAGGTCCCACAGCCCCAGCAGGACCCAAAACTTGTCCCCAGCTGCTTCATTTGTTCATCTTGAAAGCAGAAAATTGAAAATCCTCTATCAGCAGGTACAGCCCAGCTTTGCTCCCAAGGTCTTGGCATCAGGAGAAGGGGCGGCAGGCAGAGTGTGCCACAAGCCCAGGCTGGGAATGGGGGAGAAGATCCTCCCCCACCATTCCCACAGCACTTAGTGAGGCGGGAACGTCGCCAAAAGGTTTAGCTCGACGTGTAGGATAAGTGAAATGGGGATTTAGGGATTTCTGTGTGGCGTTCAGCATGAGGAAAGCCTCATCCCAGCAGCCCAGCCGGGTGGACTGAGTTTTGGCAGGGGAAGGAGAGCCCTGTGCCACCCTTCCCTCTCTCCTGGGGACATTCACCTGGCACAGAAAATTGTTCCTAACGAGGACAAGTCTCTGTTTATTATTTTTTTTTAAGATGAGCCTCAGATGAAGAAAACCTGCCGGAGCTGTGTGTGCTATATGGCTGCTTATTTCCCTGTGGGGCAGGTCGAGGTGGCGGTGGGCTTTTTTTGGGGGGGAGGGCCTTGGGGAGCTGTAGGCACCAGGAGGGGATCAGGGGTGCTCCAGCCCTGCGGTTGGAAAGAGAAGAGGCAGGAAAAGCTGAACTGGGGAAAGGGAAGAGACACCCTGGTCCTCTGCCCAAGTTCCCAGGGCACCCATGCACCCGCAGAGCCCCCACGGAGCACCCGCTCGCACCGGGACCCCCCTCTAACCCCCCCCACCAGTGTCCCACCCCATCTCGATATTGAACCACTTGGATACTTCAAATCCAAACCATGTGCAAGCCACATAATACACTAATAGGAATATCTATTACAAAGTTGGATCAATACACCCCTGGCTGCTTTAGCTCCCTTTTTCTGCAGCACTGTCTCTTTTTTTCTTTATAGTTATTCACTCTTCCACATTTTTACAGATTTGTGTGTTTTTTCCTTCTAGGCTTTGAGCCTGATTTTATCTTGTGCAGCAGAAAGCTTTCAAGCCACGTAGCAAAATAAAATAAGCCACACAATGGAAGAATATAGATGCAAGGAGCTCCACGTTTCTATTTAAAACAGGGGTCACAAAACAGAAGATGAAAAGGCACGTTTGCATTCCTATTTGTGCAGTTTGATGTTGGCTACAGAATGCAGCTGGAGCAAGCAACATTTTAAATACTCTAGAAAAAATTCTCATGTATTTGGGCTTTATTTTTGCTATTGATTCATAGGCAGCAGTTGCACTTGGCAGAGAAACTGTGATTGCCACGTCCCTAAAAGCTCAACTCTGCAAAGCAGCGGAAACGGCCCGGAGAACATGATGTTGGCAGTTAATCCGTCTGTCCGTCCCCTCCCCGGCGCTGGCTCTGTGCTGCCGCTCTCCCAAGGAAACGTGACACACGGGTCTGAAAGCAGAGCTGCTGGCTTCAGAGAGTCAACATCAAACCTGTTTAGTTTGAAATGGGTTCATTTTAAAAAGCAGTCATGAGCACTTTGCCGATTCCTGCCCGATTTGCCCTCACTCGAGGCTTCCTCTGTGTTCAACAGCACAATTGCAGCTCGGCTGGGAAACGCGAGCCCCACGTGATTGAATGGGACTGGGCAACTTAATCACTTTTCCTTATTGTTTTTCCGAGCTAATTAAAGGTGGAAATTATCATATCAAGCAAGAGCTGTTCGGGGCCAGCCATCGGCAGCCTGTGTTGGCCATGTCCAGCCCTCGCTTGAGGAATTCCCGCTGGGTTTTGGCAGGCAGGTTTAGGCCCAGATTAGGGGGGATTTACCACCCAGGTCCGTTTTCCCGCTGAAGCTGCAAGAGGCAGAAATGCTTTTAGTAACCTCCAGGCAATTTTGCACCTTCCCAGTGCCTCTACCAAAATGCTGAATGGAGAAAAAGCTCTGTTTTGCCCAGTCCTGTGGAAGATGGGATGACAGTTCCCATCCTTAGACACTCAGAGCTCCTTTTGATGCTGCAGAGCACCGGAGACTTTAAAGTGGTGCTGGCTGTGAAGAAATTGTCTGCAAACTGCCCTATTAAATATGAAACCCCCATAGTTTGACCCTGAACAAATCCACCTTATGTATTCCAGCATTAAAAAATGGCTTTTAAACTTCATTACTGTTTTCTTTGCTAGGTTTTTGTGTTTCCTGCTGGCATGCTGGTACCAGTTTGGGCTTTATGTCACTAATGGGCAAGTTTATTACATGAGAATATGTCCCAAGATTTGGGGTTGTGCCTTTTCCTGTAATGCGGGTGTTTTCTGTAATTCACTCTGGCTTGCTGCCGCTGCTGGCAACACCCCACCCTGTGCCCCAACGTTGCTGTCCTGGTGGGAAGCATTCAGGAGAGAAGGTCTGTACAAAATCTGGCTTGGGGAGCCCACCCATTGAGGAGTGCTGCCCCAAGGGCAGTGGAGCCATACCCACAGCCAAAATAAGGCTAAAAAAGACGCCGTCACGGTTCGACCGGCTGTACCCGCTTGGTGAACACCCTTCCACTCCATCCTGAGCTTCACCCAGAGAAAAAACAATTTGGTCTGGGGGTTTGCTGGTTCGGGTGAGGGTGTAATGACCCTGCAAAAGTGAGAAGCAGGTTTGAGAGCAAACCTTACGAGGACCGAGGGGCACGTGGCTGGAGGGGAAGGTGTGGGGCCGTGGAGCCACCTTTTCCCTGCAGCTGGAGCTGTTGCGTTGCAGAGCTCTCCCAAAAACTCAGCTGGCCTCATTTCTGTAGCCCTGACCTCAGACTGAGCCCCAAGGATCTGCCACCACCAGTGACAGCAACAAACATCTGAGTTGCTTGTCTTCCTGGGATGTGATTAAGCTGCAGTCAAGGACAGCTTATTTGTGTTGACTTTGAATCAATACAAACACACGGCCTGAGCTTTTTAAGCCTTTATTAGAGGGAAGGACACGCTGTGCACCTTCTGGTTTGCTCTGCTCCCCCACGACGAGCGATCCGGCCCCTGCGTGGCCGTGGGAAGGCTGCGGGAAGCACAGCTACCTGCTCTGCAAACACGCAACGGAGGTCACAGGCATCCGCGTCACTTTGCATTGGATGGGTCCCCGTCTCCGCTGGCTGCACCACAGAAGGTAATATGGTCCTTCTAGGACCACCATAAAGGTCTCAGGAGGAAGGTGAGCAGGCAGCAGCTCATGCCTGGGCATAATGGGAGTGGAGTAGGGATCCTGTTAGGGTCCAACAAGCTGTGTCTGCACCAGGGGATGCCAAGCTGATCTCTGAAAGCATGAGTGGTGGCCAACGCCATGAAGAGCTTCCATGCGGCGGTGAGGACGTGCCACCCACGGGCTTTGAAGTCCTGTCCCCAGGCATGGAGAGCGGTGGGAGATACATGGCTCAGCCCCACAGAGCACAACAGCATGGCCTTGGGTGGCCAGAAGCTGTCGTGAGCCTGAGATTCAGTGCTTATGGTGACACTGGCGCCTGTGGGCTGTCCCCAAAGGCTCCTCCTGGAAAATCAAGAAGTTAAAACCAAGTTGGGCATCTCCCCACCTCCACTGAAAGAGCCTGAACGTGATGTATATGATCTTAAGCCACCCTGAGAGCAGAGGCTGAGGCATCTTCCCCAGCAAACACATCACTTGGGATCTTTCTGGGTGCCCCAGCCCCTTGAGTCCTACTCAGCTATGAAGAAAAGGGATATTTCCACTGATGTGCCCAGATAAATCTGCCTGGTTTGGCTGGAGAAACTGGGACCCCCCGGTCTGCTTACACAGGTGACTTCTTCAGCAAGTCAAGCAGGTTATGAAAGTTGCCCCTGCTCAGAAGAAGCCATCCACTTTCAGTAGCCGCATGCTCTCACAGCCTGTGACTGAAGAATGCACATTTTTGAATGTATATTGTCCTTTCAACAATGAACTGCAATTTAAAAGAAAAAACGCACGGCAATTTAACTGCTACCTGGGAGCCGGTGTTATTCCAGAGGCAGAAAGTGCTATCTGTTGCTTAGGAACAATCTTTATCCTATAAAATGAAGAAGTACACTCTCCAAAGAGTTTTTTTAAATGCACCTGATGTGTGTTTGTCTTGCTTAGAAGCTGGCCCACCTCCTAAATAAACCACGGGAAGATGTCTTTGTGCTCCACATACAGCCCTGGCCACCTACTATACCCAGCCACGAGCCGTGGTATAGGGTGTATGCCAGCTATGGTGTGAGATGTAGGTTATATGCTCTACACGCAACCATGGTTCAAGATATGGGGTATATATTCCATATCAAGCCATGCTTCGAGATATAGGGTGTTTACCCTATACCCAGCCGTGGTACGAGATATAGGGGACATACTCCATACCCAGCCATGATGGGAGATAAGGTCTGTAAAAGCCCAGTGGGAAACATGCTGGTCACAGGCAGCCCCTGCTTCCCTGCCCCACCTCCCCGGCACTCGCAGGGACGTGGCTTGGGCATCGCTCCTTGGCGCACGGAGCAAGCACAGAAATGGAGGCAGACTGCAGCCGTGCCTGTGCGGAAGAGTTTCAGAAAACTGAGGCTTATGGAGAAGCACCTCGGGCTCGTTGCGTGTCTGGTCTTTAATCTGGATACTCATCTGTTTTTCTGTTTCAACGAGCTGAAAAACTGCAGTTTCATTGGCACGTCTTTCCAGCTGTCGGTTGAACTGGGTCAGGTGGAAACACCTACTGCTGCTCTGGTGTGTCTGCACGTCCTGCTCTGAATTACTCTGCCATTGTCCTGCTGTGGTGTTTGTTGTGGCACTGTTTTGTTTTCCCCAAAGAACAGAACATCCTGGAGCTGCTCAGAAGAGCTGCTCCTCGAGGACACAAAGCCCATCGGTTTGTTCCCTTGCGCTCGCTCTCCTTGCCAGGCACAAGAGACCTCTCCTGGGAACAGCAACCTAACACCACGAGCCACCAGCTCCTCTGTCCAGCCTAAAGCAAAGTGCACACCAGGTCCAAAAGCAAAACTGGTCTCTTGAGGTCCTTCAGTTAAAATAATCTAGTTTGCAAAGCTATCTTATCTGAGGCCCCGGTAGGAGCATCTGCCAGGGTGGAGCAGGTATTGAACCGAGAAGCCTTGCAGGACAGAATGCTGGAGCTCTTCTTCTTGCGGTAGAAGTAGCTGCTGAGGTGGAACCAGAACTTGTCGTGGAGGGAGGCGTAGATGAAGGGGTTGTAGCAGGCAGAGCTCATGGCAATCAGGTGACACGAGACCTGGATGACGTTGACGTACCTCTTGTCCAGGATGGCGAACTCCTCGTCGATGTCTCTGATGAAGTTCACCACCTGGAGGGGCAGCCAGCAGACAGCAAAGCACACCACCGAGACGGCAAGCACCCGGAAGGTCTTCTGCTTTGTTTTGGTCCATTTGTCTTGGCAGGGATAGGCAGCGCCCGGGATGTTCCTCCTCCGCAAGTGGTAGGTGATGGCGCAGAAGGAGACCGATACCGCCAAAAGTGGGAGCATGTAGGACAAGAGGAGCATCAAGCACGAGTACAGCAGCCGCTCTCTCTCTTCGTGCTTCCAAAACTCTTCGCAGATGATCATGTCGTGGCCAATGGTGTTGAGGTCCAAGTAGTGGGTGTGCAGTGAGGTGGGGACGGAGGCCAGGATGGAGAGTAACCAAATGCAGGCCACGAGGCAGATGCAGGACCTGCGGCTTATCCTCCTGCGAATGGGGTATGCCACCACGACGTACCGGTCGATGGCGATGGCGGTGAGGGACAGCACCGAGACGAAGACGGTGGTGGCCTGCATCAAGGTGACAAAGTAGCACATGAAAATCCCGAAGAGCCAGCCCCGCACCTCGAAGGCGTAGGAGACGGTGAGGGGGACGCAGGCGAGGCACATGATGAAGTCGGCCACGGCCAGGTTCCCGATCAGGAAATTGGTGGTGCAGTGCAGCTTCTTGGTGAGCGCGATGAGGAGGATGAGGAAGAGGTTCCCCGTGCACGCCACTGCCACCAGCGTGGTATAGAGCGGGATGAAGAGGGGCTTCAGCTCCAGGAGGAGGTCCAGGCCGGTGAAGAGAGGGGCTGAGCCGTTCTGCCAGGAGTCGTTGGGCAGCCGACTGTGCGCCATGCTGCTCGTCCCGCGGCCGGCGGTGCTTCTGCACGCCTTGAAGTCAAACAGAGGCGAGAGCGTCAGCCCTGGAGGGGAAAGAAACGTGCTTTGGTTGGACTTTTGGGCAGCAGAACCCGTCCCCGGGGTCTAGGTCCCCTCGCACAGCCCCGTGGCGATGCGCTGGCCGACTGAAGGGACGCTGTGACTTTTTAAGAGCAAACGCTCCGTGTTCAGAGTGGAGCTTCAGTATGGGGAAAACAGGGAGCCTGGCTACGGAATGGTGAAGCAGGAGGGTGCAGGTCTGCAGGGAGCTGCTGGTTTGGAGCAGCAGGATGGGGAGAGCGGCTCGGGACGCCTCGTGGAGCGTAACCTGGGGAGCTGTGCTGACATAAAGCAGAAATAAAGGGCACTCCGGCGTTTTCAGCTTGCCAGCTCCCTGCCAACCTGCCAGGCCTGTTGCTGCCACCCCGGCCACCCTCGGCAGAGGGTCCCCTCCACCTCCAGCCCTCCCGCCTCTCTCTGTCCCAGCCCACCCCACCAGCCCCCCAGCCCCTGGGGTTATTTTACCCTGTTGGTTATCTCTCTACCTGCCCCAGAGCTCAGGATTCTCCCACTCCCCTGGAGCCACTGCAATGGGACGGGGGCACGAGGCCTCCCGGGCATGGCCACAAAACGACCGACAGCAGCCGGGGGGGCATGATGTCAAATATATTCTATCCCATTTCTCAACATATAGTGTCCTTTCAACAATGAACCGCAGTCCTGTAAGGAAATGTAGGGCCACAGTTGTGTAAGAAATTGTAAGGGAGTGAAGAATTACCCCCCAGGACCCTCCTCTCGGACCCCACGCTGTCAAATTTACCTTTTCATCCCCCTTGCCAGGAGCTGGCCAGTCTTCCTTCCCCGCAGCGGAATCAAAGCAGCATTAATTAGGCAGCCCCGTTAATGAAACTGAGAGAACTGGTTTCCCACCCCACTCGGGATGTGCAGACCCCGCAGCCGAGAAGCCGCCCGCTCATTCATTTCAATTTTAATTCCCGAGCCGCCCTCCCCGCAGCCCGGGGGGGCCGGGAACACCCCGACACTTGCTCGGGGCCCCCCCGGGGCCGCACTGACCTGCGCGGGGGCTCCCGGGGGGGTCCCGGCCCCAACCTCCCGCGGAGATGCGCTTCCTCCGCCGGCAGCCGCGGCTCTCACAGTGGCTCTCGCTCGCTTCTCCCACTGGCCTCGGGGGGGGCGGGGTGGGGTTTGGGTTGGTTTGGGGGTTTTCCACCCATGCCGGAGCTTTTAAGCCGAGGAGGACCAGGACGCGCCCACCCGCGACGCTGAGTGTTGCAGGTACTGGCGGGGACGCGCACATCCCACCCTGCCGTTCCGCGGGGGAAGCAGCATCCCCCCACCCCCCCCAACGCCCCCCGCCCCCGGGCCGGCTCCGGGACACCACCCCGTTCGGTAAGGGAGGGGGGACACGGGGAAAGGGGGGCAGCGGGGGGCACAGGGACCGCGCGGAGATCACGGCCGCCCCGTCGGGGGTCCCGTTTGGGGGGGGGGGGCGAGGGCGGCGTGGGGTGCAGGGAGCTGTGGGGTGCAGGCAGCTGTGGGGTGCAGGGAGCTGTGGGGTGCGGGCAGCTGTGGGGTGCAGGGAGCTGTGGGGTGTGGGCAGCTGTGGGGTGCAGGGAGCGCTGGGGTGAAGGGGGGCCGTGGGGTGCAGGGAGCTGTGGGGTGCGGGCAGCTGTGGGGTGAAGGGAGCTGTGGGGTGCAGGGAGCTGTGGGGTGCAGGGACCTGTGAGGTGTGGGCACCTGTGGGGTGCAGGGGGCTGTGGGGTGCGGGTGGCCCAGCTGGAGGGCGATGGGCACCCAAACACGGGCTGCTCGTGGCCCAGCCCTGGGGCAAGGGCAGGGTGGGGTGAGGGTGGCCCGGCCATCGGGGGCCACCAGCCAGCTACGGCATGGGACACAGTCGTGGGGTATGGCGTGTGCCCCACGGAGCTGAGCCCCCAGGGCACCCCAGCACCAGCCTGTCCTCAGAACCAGGGAGCCAGCACGGGCCGGGTGCGCAGGCAGCGAGAGCGAGCGGCAGTGGGGACTTGCATCCAGCCCACAGCCACAGGCAGGGGAATAAAAATCCCATTTTGCATTTTATTTCCTAGTGGAGAAGAAAAAACACCCGAAGCAGGGCAGGCTGCCAGCCGCAGGGAGCAGCCCTGGTACCACCGGCCCCAAAGGCACTGGGTGCCCATCCCCAGCCCCACTCTCCACACTGGGAAATTAAGCAGAATTGCCCCAAATGCAAAAGGGAGCCAGGACCAGCCATCGGCCGAGTGCTTTTCTCTCCAGAATACACCGGCTTTTCCCAAAATACCTCAGTTCACCTTTTGTCACAAGTGCACTCAGGAAGCTCTGTGCTTGCTGGCTTGGCGTGGACACACACCAGAAATATGTGACCTTTTCAGTCAGCAGGCATTTACCTTCAAGGGCATGTCAATATTGACATTTTTAAGAGCTTGGGAAAAAAGCTTCCACACTAAAATTCTCCTTGCACAGACACTTGAAGAAGTTTCTGCAATGCATGTTGAGCATTTAGGGACATGCAAGAATCAGGATTAGATTTTTATTTCTTGACTGTTCCCTCCTGTGTGTGTTTATAAATAATGCAAATGTCTTTAAAACCCATCTCAGGGTATGTGTTGGCTCTTAGAACAAAGCTGGTAGGTTTTAAAATGGAAGTGTGCGTTTCTTGTATTGATTCCCATCCAAGTTTGCTCCCTTTGGGCTGTGAGTCTCAGTTCTGGAGGGAGCTGGGTGTACGGGCTCAGGACATCATCCAGCCACGATCAAAGGGGGGTTTCCCCAAAAAAAAAAAAAAAAGTATTTTTGGATTTAGGGCAAGCAAGAACCATAGGGCTGAAGTCACTAAAACTATTCCTCTCTTAAATTCAGCGTATGCCTGAGTGATGTGTTCTATCCAGTTCAACCCAGGTTATCTGTATGGGCAGAGCCTCAGAGGGTGGTTTGAGTTATTTTAACGAGTTTTCTCATTTTTATCAGAGATTTTACATGCAGTCAGGGCCATAGGAGCAGGTCTTTAAACCAGGTTTAAGGTCAGGCAGCTCTGCCATGTGGAGCCTGGGCTATTGCTCTGCTAAAATACTGCGCTGAAAGCCCATGGAGCTGCTGGGGCAACGCGGCCGAGGCCTCAGCTGGGCCTGGAGCAGCCAGAGGTGCCTCAGGAGCTGAAACTAATTCCCTAATTAGATATAAAAGGTCACGCCAGGCCTCTTCTGTAGGGGATTATTCTTGTTCAGTAGTTCTTTTTGCTCTGCAGAGCTCAGCAGGCTGGGGGAGCTGAAGCAATTTGCTAAACTTAGATATAGTGATTTAAGTGCTTCACGGAACTTGAGGGGGGAAAAAAAAAGTACAGTGGGGAAAAAAGCCCAAGCTGGGTTTGTTCTGGTAGTTGAGAGAGGGAAGAGCTGCCTTTGTTGGTGAAGGGTTTTGCATCTCCTTGGTGTTACGGTACAAAGGTGCTTTTGTTCCCATGGAGGCGCCGGACTACACCGATCCTGCACCGAGGACAGGGCAGAGCGAGAAGGGGTTACCCAGAAATGTAAGTACCAAACCTTGGGGCTGCTGACCTGCCCGTCCTTCTCCAGGGAGCTGGGGAGTGTGTGTGTGGGGAAAACAGGGACCAGCAACCTCCTGAGCCCGTTGGGGCATTGCCCACGCTTGGGCTTTTGCTCAGAGATTTCCCCCGTGGGTGCATCCCCAAGCTGTGGCCAAAAGCAGCCTGCCCACGGGGTGCCTGTCCCAGGGGCCTTTTGTGAGGCTGAAATAAGAGGGGGAAGAAAATCAAAGCGTGGCTGGAGTCGGCCTCGTGCAGTGCAGGGACAAGCACAAAGCTCTTTGTAGCTGTGAGCTGTCGGGATGTTGCTGGGGCAGTGTCAGGTCCCCGGCTGATGCTCAACCACCTCGGTGACTAGATGAGCAGAGAAACAGCGGCAGCCGAGCGACTGGGGGGACCTGGGGCTGGACGGGGAGGAGGTGGCGGAACTGGGAGCTGGGGGAGCTCCTGCCAGCCCCGCTCTTCCTCGCCTTACCCAGGCCGAGGGCCGTGCGCTGGGAATCTGGTTTGTTTTCTGCCGGAATCGTGTGTTTCTAGGGCAGATCGTGCCGCCGGAGGAAATTCCAGGGAATTCCTTTTTTTAGCTTGAGGTTTCCCTGGGCGCAGCGGTGAGGGATGCAATGCATAAAGCAGGCGGAGCTCCCGCCGGCACGAGGGGAAGCGAAGAGCCCGCGGGCTGAAGCACAGTGTGGAGCCATGGGAAGCTGGGGATGTTGGGGTGACTGGTGTTGGGGTGACTGGTGTAGCTGCTGCTGTGTGCGAGTCACGTCTTTCCTTCCGTGGTACCTGCTCGGAGCTGCGGCTTCTCTTCCCTCCTCCGGCCGCATTTTCTTACAACCTCTGCCACATCAGCGGTGCTTTTTCCGCTCTGATTTTTCCCTTTTGGAAATGATTTCCAGTTTATTTCAAGTTGGTGAATTGCTACATGATCGATTGATGTGTGGATAAAGACTTTGGTTTCTTGCGAGCCTCTGTTTCCAGCCTTAATTGGGCATTTATTACTATAACACGGTTGCATTGTGTGATTAAAAAGAAGAAACGAGAATCGCTTCAATATTGATTTCAGTGGCAAGATGAAGTTAATAATGTACGACTCCTAACAAGATTTGAGTGGCAAACAATAATGTCAGTGCCCAGTGATTATTTGGTTTCCATTGCACTATGCACCAGTGCTGTGACAAGCCTGGTGGTAATGAGAGCTGAAATTAACCCCGGGGCTAATTACCCTGCTGACCTGAGTGACGGGCTGATGCGAAGACAGGGCAGATCGCCTCCGGTTAAAGGATTTTCACCCTTTGGTTTATTTTTCAGTGTGGAGGGAGCTCACAGCAATGGAGCTATGGGAAAAACCTTTTATTTCTTGGGCCCAAACGGCTCCAAGCTCAGCCGAGCGGGCGGTGTGGGGCCAGTGCAGACCCCGCTCCCGGCTCCGCAGGCACTTCCCATCCTGGCAGCGAACATGCCGTGGCGGTTTGGGGACAGTAATGTAATTTCCATGACTTCCCAGATTCAGGCACCTTTGATTTGCCTTGGGAATGGCAGGAAGAGTTGGCTGGGGGTTTATGGTTGTGGTTTCTGGGAGGGTAGGACTTGGATCCTGATCCTAGCTGGACAGGGGAGGGGTTGATCTTGGAGATATCTCAAAGCAGATAGAGTGAAAACAAAGCTGAAAATGTTTGGAAGCGCGAGTGGGGGACGAGCCTCCCTGGCCAGCCCATGCAGCTGAATTCCCCGTGGCATCTCTAAGGGGTTTGGGTCATTTGCTTCAGGGCAGTGGGTTATGAAGGCACTGGGAGGGCAGCAAGCACCCAGAAATCCCCCCTGGTTTTGCAAAGATTGTCCTGAAAAAAAATAAGCAGCTGCTTTCCCCCAGCCACAAACACCATCTTTCAGCTAAAACACTGTTATGAAGTTTTTATTAGAAGCGTCAGGACAAACACTGCAGTTTTAAAACTCTCAGCTATTCAGAAACATGCTGTCATGAAACTGCTTTGGAGCAGTAATTGCCCCTTGTGAAAAGTTTGGGGATTTGTGATTTTTGTCTTTTTTTTTTTTTTTTCTGTCTCCTTTGGAAGGAAAAACAAATCCTTGCTTCTCCACAGGCATCACTTCAAAGTCAGATGTATTAATTGCTGTATGCCCCATAATAAGGGGGTGTACAGCAACAGGATTGCTTGTTATTTAACGTGCCTCAGGTACCTGGCTGCCAGATCCAAAGCAGGTCATTGCCCATCAGCTCTGTTTTCATTGGAAAGCTCCAATTCCATGTGCAAGATCTTTTCAGCTTTTCCTTTATAGCTTACTTAAATAAGGGAAAATTAAAAATAATAATCATCATCAACTGGAAATTTTTGTTGTAAGAGGAATGGAAATTGTCAGATGTGTCCTAGGAGAAGTTCTGCAAAATTACAACTTTTGGTGAGAGAAGGCATTTAATTTGTCTCCATCTGATGGATGTGGGTTGGTGTTATTAAAGCTGGCTGAGAGCTGACTTCAGAGGCGAGTGCTCATCCCTGCCAAATAATCAGCAGGAAGAGAATCATCTTTGTCTCTGTATCACAGTCTGGTCGAGAGCTGCTGTTAATTTTAAACAGCAGAACAATCTGATAAGGAAAGCAGAAGTCTTTTTAAGGATCAATTGAGATGAGAGATGGAGTTTGGACGTGACAGCAGAATAAGGAGTCGCTGGGGGGCTGGGATGGAGCACGTCCACCACAATTCAGCTGGATAATTCCCCCATGTCCGGATGCACCATGGCCAGGGCAAGCCAGCAGCAGTGCTGGGAGCTTTTCCTTCTGCACGTGCTTATCCTGGAAAAACCAACCCTGGCCTCGTCTTTAGTGTTTCCGGGCCCTGTAGGATAAGTCACTCTTATTCCAGAGCATGTATTGCCCCGCACTGCAGGTTTCTCTGGCTGGAGACAAGTGTTGGACTCAAGAGCTGCAGCCCACCCTGCTGCCCCTGCCCTGGGCTGGCGACTCTTCTTGAAGCATCAGAGCTTGAGGCATCTGCGGTGACATCCCAGTGTCTGTCCTGCCCCATGCAGGTGATGACCAGGAATCAATTTGCTGTGGTCTTACCCTTTTCTTTGCATGTTGGTCACTAGGTTGGCTTTTAGAAATAACCAAAGGGTCCAGCACCTGCAAGACATCTCCAGAGAGCAGCTGGAGCAGGACTGCCCAAAGCCACTTCAGCAAATCACAGACTGGTTTGGGTGGGAAGGGACCTTAAATCCCACCCAGTGCCACCCCCTGCCCTGGGCAGGGACTCCTTCCCCCAGCCCAGGGTGCTCCCAGCCCCGTCCAACCTGGCCTTGAACCCTTCCAGGGAGGAGGCAGCCACAGCTGCTCTGGGTACCCTGGGCCAGCACCTCACCCCCCGCACAGGGAACAATTTCTGCCTTAGATCTCATCTGAATCTCTGCTCTTTCAGTTTAAAAGAGTCACCTCTCATCCTACCCCCACCCCCTGATCCAGAGTCCCTCCCCACCTTTCCTGTCCCCCCTTTAAGCACTGGAAGTCTCCCTAAGGTCTCCCCGGAGCCTTCTCTTCTCCAGGCTGAACCCCCCCAACTCTCTCAGCCCGGCCCCCCAGGGGAGCTGCTCCAGCCCCCCCAGCATCTCCGTGGCCTCCTCTGGCCCTGCTCGAGCAGCTCCGGGTCCTTCTGCTGTTGGGGGCCCCCGAGCTGGCCCCAGCACTGCAGGGGGGTCTCCCCAGAGCGGAGCAGAGGGGGAGAATCCCCTCCCTGGCCCTGCTGCCCCCCCTGCTCTGGCTGCAGCCCAGGGCACGGGTGGGTTCTGGGCTGTGGGCACACGGTGCTGGCTCACAGGCAGTTTTCCCCCCACCAGCACCTCCATTCCCTCTCCTTGGGGCTGCTCAGGCAGTGCTCATCACCTCTTCTGCAAAACAGCAAGTGCAATCACAGCGCAGACCTTCCCCTCGCAGCAGGTTGCAATTTTTCCTAACCTGAGATCCTAGAGAGCCTGTCAATTAAAAAGCAGGACAGAATATTCTCAGCATCATTATACGGTGCTGCCAGCTCATGCTTCGGTGGGATTGGCTTTGTCAGCTCAGGTACATGGTGAACCACCTTTTTTTTCCCCTCTGTGGGGGTGAGGGTTCTCGGGAAAGCGCGGGGAGGATCAGACCGAGTGTGTTTAATCAGCGTGCGTCAAGCTCAGACGAACAGAGCCGACCTTGGCACGTGGTGGTGCCGCTGGAGGCAGCTCCCTGTCCTCGTTTTCCCACGGACGTGAGTGAAGGCGAGCGGTGGGCTCAATTCGTGCATCGCCCTGCGCTCGAGAGGGATGTTTAACAGATGTTTATGGCCGGTTATATTCCACAGAGACACTGATCAGTCTCAGCCATTGCCTGAGTACTTTTTTTTCCTTAGTCACTCACTGGATTAGGTGCTGCTTTCAACAAGGTGCTCTGGGGCTCAGGTTTCCCAGCGCCCTTTTCCCCCTGCCGTGCCTTTCCTGGCTGCCCGCTGTGCTCCTGTAGCCCAGCTGCTCTTTTGGCCGGCAATATCCCTCATGTTGCTCTGACAAGGCAGCACTCAGGTTGTCTTGGATTTCACTTTATTCTGCCTCATCTTGAAAACAAATTACTGGCAGCCTGACAATGGTGATGGATCACACCGGTGTTGTAGCACATCTGTCTGGGGAGATTAAGGGGGTAGAGAAATGCTGGTTGATGCAGAGAAAAGGGTTGTCTGAAAGGTACAACCCGAGGTGGGGGGCTAACATTTCCTTGTGATTACTAGTTTCTCACACCTGAAAAATCATCTCCTGTATTTGGCAGCAGGCCTTTGTGTGTAACAGTGCAGACAGGATGCTTCCCAACACTGCTGCTGGGGGCCTGGCTGCACCTACTGAGAGTTTGCTTTTTCTCTGTAGCTGTGCTGATACCAACGGCTCATCTTTTTGTTTAGCTTGGCGCATCTCCCGGCATGCGAATTATTTCTATGTATAGGAAGGCTGGTGTTGCTGTATAAGCAAAAAAAAAAAAAAAAAAAAAAAAAATCCATAGGGAAAACACTGCTTGGACCAGCAAGAGTGAGTTTGACTGACAGGAGCTAAACAGCTTGCTCTGCCTAGAATAAACCCTAACAGCTTGAAGTAAAGTCCTCACTGGTTAAACCACGTGTAGCATCACCAAGTGCAACGCTGCTGCCGGGACGCGTCGCGCTTCCTCGCGTATTCACAGTTTAAGCAATCTTGTAAAGTTCTTCAGGGCCTTAACAGGAGAGTTCTTGCCACGCTTATGGTGATTTAAGGACAGGCCCATCCTGTGTCTAGTTCCCAAAGGGTCGGTGGCTGAAGGGCAGACCGTGTGGTCCATTCTTCTGAACACCTCCACGCTGCAGTGCCTGCACTGGATGTTGTCCCTTTCCTTGAGCAACACAGGGTTAGAGTGCTCAAGCGTAAATGTTCCTACACAGTGTAAGTGTGGTTAGGTTAAAACTAGATAATAAATAGCTTGTGTGCATACAAAACAGCTAAAAAAAAAAACAACAACAAAAAAAAAAACCACAACCAACCAACCTTTTGTTTAAGTGGACAGCTCAGGTCTGCAGCCCTTCTGCTCACGCCCTGGCTGGGCTGGGGGAGCGGGCCATGCTGCGGAGCACCCCTGGAGGTGTCGACCCCAAGGCAGCCCCCAGCTCACCGCCAGCCTCAAAGAGCTTTGCGTGTCCCCGTCGCTGCTGAACAGGCAACGCGGAGGCGCTTCGGGACCTAATTTACTGTCTTGCAGCCGCGTTACCACTGACAGCCACAGACGGAGGAAACTGATGTTTCTTCCTGGCTCGTGTCCAGCGTGACGACGGAGCAAAACCGCGCTCTGCTCCTGGTGCTCATCCGGCTTTGCTGGCCGTACCGCGGCCGGCGGAGCTGGTGCTGCGCCGCGGGAACCAGCCACCCCGGGGCTTAGCACTGCTCGGGGTGGGAGCTGGCCCACCCTGGGGCGTGGGGACTGTGCTGGCGGGTGCTTGGGCTGAGCTCCTGGCAGTAGCTGGTGTTTTGGGCAAATCAGGGCAGGTGACCGGCTCGTTCTTCAGTCTCCTGTCCAGCAAAGCGCCTGGGTGCGCCTCGCCAGGGCGTCGGTGCAGATCGAAAGACCTCGGCTAATGCCGCATTTGGACAATTCTTCCCCAGACCCTTTCCTTCAGCTCCTGAGCTATTGGTAAAACTGAACTGGTGAGAGCTACTCCCGGGTCCCTCCTCAAGAGGAAATGCTGGGTTATGTGGATGTAAACTGTGTTTCAGTACAGTTATTTTCAACATATTTTTCTCTGATAGTTTTAATGGGAATAGACAAAATAATGTAAAGCATCTTCACAGTTGTTGCTAAATCACAAGAAGGAAACGTATCAACTACAAACTAGGCTGAGTACAGACAGAGGAATTATATCTTTCTCTCTCTGCACACACCATTTCTGGTAAACAGAAGCATCTTTGTCACAGCTTGACATCACAGGTGCGAGACATTTACAGCACTGTATCTGTACAGGAAAGCAGACGTATTTTTTCAAGATAAATTAAAAGGGATGTTTAAAAGATGACTAAAACCACCCTCCAACAAGACACAAAACTTGCAAGTCTTGTATCACTGACGTTCAGGTGATTCATCATATTTCTCAAGTCTTAAAAAAAAAAATGTGTTTGTTCTAACGGAGAATCATGAGCGTGACTTTTCTGTGAGTGGTGAGCCTGGGTGGGTGGTTATACTGATAAAGCTGATCGTGGAAGCAAACACTGAGTCATGACACTGAAGGAGAAGCACCAACAGAGAAACAGCGGTCGGTGAATGAGATAATAGCACCATTTATAATTGTACAGACAGGAAACAAGGAAGCTTGCTCAAGAAACTACTTTTAAAAATGTATTTCAATACAGTTACATAATGAACATGGTGTGACTCTAGCGTGCACAGACTGCTAGAACTACCCCTATAAGTTCTGTCTTAATGAGCTTTTTCTGACAGAAGATGTATGCTGCTTCCCTCTACTGACCCTTAGTGTCAATGCCAAGACAGCACAGGTTCAAGAAGCATCATACAAGTACATGATTACAGATTCTTTGATTAGTAATGGGAAATAACACTCTGCAGAGTTAAACAGGATGAAAAACAAACACTAGAACATATTTAAAGTCAGATACTTCTACACAAGTCTGATGAAAACAAGTTATTTGTAGTCTCCCTGGTTATCGCTTTGTGTTTCCTGATACAGAATCTCATCTGACCCTCTTTTGGAAAGGCTGAACAGGTACAAAATGACCCACAAGAGAAAAAATACTCCCCCCACCAGCCTATTCTATACTAGAAAGTTTGGCCAATAAAGGGGGAAACTGGAGGAGGGTACATCACACAGAGGGGAATGTTAAATAGTTAGTGTCAGCAAGGCTATCCATTTAATGAGTGCAGCGATACCCTCCTTTAGGGTCCCAGATTCACACAGGTGCAAAATATCTGTCTTCCTCCAGGCACAGCTCAGGGGCAACTCAGGCTTAAACAGTGAAGATCTATAGAAAACACCACAGTGGACTTGGCAGGGAAGGGAAAAAAAAATGCCCAATTGAGTAATAAAAAAGGTACAAGACAGGAAGAAAAACTGATTCAGTGGATTTATCTGTTCTATCCTAGACCATTATGTTTTCTGATGCTTCTGAATAACTATTTTTTGTTTAATGTGTCTCCTGATGAATTACAAACAATTCACATTCAGACTGGAATGATCAGGTTGCTACAGGCTGGGAGAAGATGAAAGTAAGACTTCAGTTCAGCACACGCTGTGTCACAGGCGTCACTCTTGACCGCAACAAATGCCAGTCACTGTCTCTGGGGGTCCAGAGCTGGGTTTCTGTGTGTTGGGGTTGTTTTTATTTTTTTAAATGACTGATAATTGGCACTTTTGCTCTGTCCCCCTGGTATTACTGTTGCTGGATACAACTTCACTCGGGCTGGGCCAAGAGCAGCTCTGTGGCAGGGCTGGCGCGTACCTCACTGCTCGGCAGCTGGAGGGTCTCCCTCGGTCTCCTGCTTCTCTGGCTGAGATTCCGGAGGGATGAGGTACTGTACCTCCTCCGTATTGATTGCCACCTTGTCAGGCTGCAGCCATCGCTTTAGATGTTCTAGTGTGCTGAGGGAAAGCAGAGACACAAAGTGAAACAAGAGAGCAGCAAAGCCTCGCAGGAATGTATGAAAAAAATGTCAGGAAATTCCTCCATATGTATTTCTGGCACCTCTGCAGGTGTTCCTGTTGCCACGGATAAGGTCTGTCATGGGACCAAGCCAGGTGCCAGAGGAATCTCTCATTCTACAAAGACATTCTGCTTCAGCTGTGCTTTTAAAATTATGGTTAGAAAAGTTTTACGCTCCAATTTTTCTTGATGAAAAGAACCCTTAGCAGGTACATCAACCTGTACATTCTTGAACTACTTGTCTGTCTCTGTAGCTGAATACTGCAATTAAATTTCCAACTTTCTGGGCTGGAAGTACAAAAACTAGAGTTAAAACGAAACAAACAAACCAACCCCACAACTGCTTATTTGCGATGAAAATTAGGAAATATCGGGGGGAATGGAGGGGAACAAAACCAAAACAGGAAGCACATATGAAACTGTGTGACCATTAGTAACACCAGGAGATTAGAGAAGAAAAGGCAGTATGGGTACATTCTAGAATGCTAATCATACTATGGATTCTATAGATGTTTATAAATATATACTAGCTTAATTACTGTCTTACAGCCTATCTCATAATAACTGGTCCAACCAGAACAGATCTACCGGTCTTTGATTAAATGTTGACTATAATCCTAAAAGTTTAATATTATAATTCTTAAATGTGTGTGTGTATGCTCATCTTCTAGAAGTGTGATTTGAGTCACTCAATACCACCACAGCAAAACTAACTTGCCCTTGTCCTTTCACAAGGGTGGAATTTCACTTGGTAATGTCCTTGGAATTATCTGTGTGCTTAAAAGTTAAGGCTTGTTTAATTATATCGGTGAGTGCAAATCAAATACTTCAGCACCACTTGGGAGTGACCTCTAACTTCATAGTCAAATTCTAGAGAGGAAACTTCTTTCATCCCCAGTCTTTAAAACAGTAGAAAGAGCATATGTATTTACAAAAGTTTGTTTTTAAATATAAATCACATTGAAGTTAACTGGTCAAAGAAAGAATCTAAAAACTCCTTATAAACATGGATTTTTTTTTTCATAGTTAAACTCCCAAACTAGCTTAAGTAGATTTTCTTCAAGGGAGAAAAATAATCTTCTTCTCAGCTAAAAGCAATCATGAAAAAATGTCAGCTCAGAAAGAGGAAATATGGAGAGCATTATCAGTGATGGGGAATGTGAGACCGCTAAAGAAAAGCACTCTCATCTTAATTCGTGTATCATCTATAAAAGGATAATGGGTGAGAGAGCAGCAGCACTGTAAGAGGGGCATGGAAGGGAGAGCCGCCGGGAAATCTAATCTCAGGACTGGTACCAATCCTATAAAGACCTTGAAATCCCACAAGTGTCTGAAGCAGTGCTTAACTGGGCCCTGACAAAGATGTAGGGAATGGCCTGGGGTTCACTTTTAAAGTTAAGCCTTAAAAAAAGGCAATCTGAGACATCCCTCCTCCACTCCATTCCTTCCCTAAATGTGACAAGCGAAATTACAGAGTAGGTTCCAGTTGTTTCCATGCTGGATCGCTCCCATCTGAGGGATGCAAAAATCCATCAACAGCATTTGAAGTTCAAACCCTCCCTGCTCTGTGTCTCCCCCTCTAGTACGATGCAAATGGTCATTATCAAACTGTTTCAGAAAGCCTGTGACAGCCTTACCAAGTTGCACTGAGATGTGATTTTTGTCATAATGCCCTACCACAAGTCCTGACGAACCCTTATTTTAGTTTTTAAGAAATAAAGTCTGTTTGCCAACACGGTAAGTGGTAGTCCCTTCTCATCCACTCACTCATTACCTCTCATCAGAGTCATGTCCCTCTACGTAAAATTCAGACTCAAATTTCTCCTGCAGGAACCTGTCCCAGCATTCCTTCTTAGCCTGGGAGAGAGTGCGCAGCATGTCCTTGGAGGTCACCTCCTGAGACAAGCCTTTAATTCTCATCAGTCTTCTCTCTGTGAAGAGGCAAAGGAGGGGTCTTTGTTATCTGTATTATGTTTCTCTGAAAAGAAAGAAATGACGTATCTGGGCTGCTAGATCAAAAAAAGTTAAATTAACTTTTCAAGACTAAGTCCTATTTTAAAAGTATTTTCCCCCTGTATTTCAGGTCTGCACAACTGTATTTCTTGTATGTATAGAAGATGGTATTTTTCAGGTGATGCTTCTGAAGGAAATAAGGTTTATGCAATCAGTCAACTCTGCCTAGTTTTGAGTTTTAATAACTTTCACACTTCCTGTGTGATTTGACGGAAACTGAACAGTAGGGTGCAGATCTCACAGGCATTAAGTTCCTGCCATTTCCATGCAAATTGGCATAGAATACAAATCACAATAATTGCAGCATGAATCCAAGTAGTGCCCAAACTGAGGGGAAAAAAATATGAGTGCAGCAGTATTATTAGTTGGGTGTCTTTTAACAGAATGTGATATTGTGACTTTCTCAGCCACAGGGGACAATGAAAACGCCTCCTTACCTGATGCAGGGTAATCCAATTACAATGTACAAAAGCAAATTTCATTAATTCCTCTGGTCACAAAATCCCATTATAACAGTTTACTCCTTAAATTGGGTCAGGTATTGACATGTAATCACACTTACTGCAAAGTGTATCATCATTAGTTGAACTGGGCTAGTTCACAACACTGTGGCCCACCTGTTAAGCTTTCTGGAGGTTGTCCTGTGTCACAGAATTGAGCTGTCACTGAAAGCCTCTGGCCCTAGCAGTTCAGGAGATTTGAATTATCCTATCTGTCCAAACATACAGCCCGGCTGATGCTATGACTCCGCAATCACTAATCCTGGCCAGGTACAAACATAGAACAGGTTTATTTCTGTTGATGTAGCCAGACTATACAAAAGAAACTTTGTGCTCCTGTTACGCTTTCATCCTGGCTATGAGAAAACACACACAGATGTAGTCTGAAGCCTGCTTGTAAAAATTAATCCACTGGTGTTTTCTGAACAAGTCGGAACTGCAGCAGTAATTAATACCAGAAGAGCAATTTACATTTTGTTGCTGTGACAGCCTTCATCTAAGAACTCTACTTAGTGTTCTGTGAAATATTAGTCTAAAACAGCAACTAAGGTAAGATGGAAGCTCTAGCAGAAATAAAAGCTTAAAAAGCCACTTCTGCTACCCATTTCTCCTTGCCTGTTTCTGCATGCAGCCTCCTGCACAGGCCAAGACGACAAAGTGTGTGGCTGCACTGCAAACTGGGTTACAAACTTACCCAAGATAAAAATAACTCCATGGAAGGGAATGAAGGGGAAAAGAAGAGCCATAAAGCTGGAATATTTTGCTACGAGTGGAGGGAGTGACAGTCCAACTGCTGAACAGCTGGGGAAGCCCAAAGCTTCTGCTAACAGGCAAGAGGAGCATCCACCCTGGGGTTGAATGCTGCTGTACAGTGAGGCCTCTGGAGGGAGTAGGAAACACTTAAAAGAGGGTGACAAATTCCATGGCCTTAGAGCTAGATTGCAGCGTTTAGCTGTGCTGGGATGTTAACTTCAGTGCTGGTAACCTTACCATCCCTTGTATCAGCTGTTATGTTGCTCAAAATCAATTTATGGCTTTATAGATTATGCAGAAATTAAGAGAAGTAATTGCGCAAAGATGATTTGCATGATCCAGCATCTTAAAATGCAGATTCTACCAGGCGTGATTTGGGAAGGCATCAGAGCTAGCTTTCCCATACCTGTCCCCCTCCTCTCCAGCCAGAAAACAGGTCACACAAAGAAATTTTACTTTCCTCTGTCCACTCAGAACTGTCTCCTGAGACTCCACAAAAACAGTGAGACAAATACTGGCAACACAAAAACACGCAGGCTCTATAATGAGTTCAGAATGCATTTCCTCTCCCCAAGACAACTACTGTGGAACTACATGCTCTTCAGAGAAAAAACAGCAGTGTCCCTACCACACTTATTTTGAGGGAAAAACCCCAAAGTCTTTAGTTTGTACTTGATAAAAAGTTCCTTTTTGCGGCACACCTGAAGGAGCTATGACCGTGCTTCTCATTTCCACTAATGCACTTGCAATAAGCGAGTCAGATGCTCTTAAATAGTTGTAAGACATCTTTCCAACCAGAGCTGTGAGCACCGTCACCTCAGCCGCACAGAGCCGCAGCTGTCATCAGGCACCAAAGCAGATAGAGACATCAAAGCCGTCCCAGACACTCACCTAGGGATGCCAAATACACCTCCGAATCATTCAGGGGTGCCCAGGGCTTCAGGTCTCTTTGGGAAGAGACATCTGATCCACTGCCCTGGCTTCCTCCGTCGGTGTAAGAATCCATGAAGGAGTCTGTAAAAGCATCGCTGGCGTCCTTCAGGTCGGGATGTGGCAGACACGAACAGATTTCTGCCCAGAGGTCTTCGCTGGACTTGGCGACCACGGAGTCAACGCTCTCAATCATCCTCATCGTGAAGTCCTGAGCGGGGGGAATTAAATGATGAATACGGATCAGAAACCCCTCTCTCCCAGGCCTCTCCCTCTCTGCCCCCCTCTGCCCGAGTCACGTCACCAGATGGTTTAGGGGCCTCTCATCCCCCCGGGGAAGCGTGGTCCCCCTCCAGCGAGGAGTGAATCGCCCTGGGGTGCCGCATCTACCCCAGGGGCCCAGCGAGCCCCTCAGGGCCTGACGGACCCCGCAGGCCGCGCTGCCTGCCCGCCCTCCGCCCCTGCCCCCGGATGCCCCTGTCACCGCCGCTCCCCGGGGCCGCTCAGAACCTTGGCTGAGCAGCTCAGGACACACGGAGGGGCCGCCCCGGCCCCGATCCCGGTCCCGGTCCCCGTCCCCGCCTCGGCCACCGCCCGCACCGTAAACACGGGAAGCCGCGACAGCTTCTCCCTACGCACCGATTGGCATCCGCGCCTGACCAATCGCCGCGCTCCCCGGGGCGGTAAGAGGGCTCCTATTAGCCCGCGGCCCAGCGGTGGGCGGGGAGTCTGCCGGATGCCGTGTGGGAACCTGAATCCGCTGCGGCGCCACCTCGGCAAAGGGCGGAAGTGTTCCTGTGGGAGGAGGTGAGGAGCCGCTATCCGCGGCTGTGGGGCCCTCAGCGCGGCGGGTATCGGTATCACTATCGCAACCGGCTCCGGCTCGGAGGGGCCGGCTGGGCCCTGCACCGGCCCGGCCGAGCCCTTGGCGGGGCGGGGTGTGTGGGGGAGGGCTGTATCTTGTGTCCCCAGTGCCCGGGTGCGCTCCCGCCGGCTCCGCCGGGGCGCAGGCCTCGGGCCCTCCGCGGCCGGTCCGTTAGCCCATGTCACCCTGACCCGCACGGCAGCCTTGGCTGAGCCCGCGCCGGCCGGCAGATCCCGCTGGAAACGGCTTCTGCCCGGCCCCGGAGCGGCGTCCCGCGGCACTTGGCGTGAAGCGCCTGCTTTAGGTAACCTTCGTAATTTTAAATGTGGAGAGCGCCAGCCGGCCCGGGAATTATTTCTCACAGCTCTTGCCTGTAATCGGGGTAGTGTCGTTGATTCTCAGGGTCTGACATTCAGCCCTGCACCTTGTGCTCCATCGTAGTTCGAGTAGCATCACAGGTGTGAGACTGTGTTACAGCGAGGAGAGATGAAGCTCTGGGGTGCCTGTCAAACCGCTGGTTTTGAATTCCTCCTCTCAGCAGGGTGCTGCCCGTTTCCGGGGGATGATCTGTCTGCTGCCCTGCACTGTACTTACACTCATGGGACTGTTCTTTGCCAGAACGATGGCCTGGACGTCAAGTGGAAAAACGCACCCTGAGCTGGTCAACAACCTCTACAGTGAGTACCAGCGTGGTCAAAAGCTGCTGACTGGATCTGTTGGCACCTTGATGTGAGGATATTTAGTGTTAGCAGTGATATGTTGTGATGCTGTTCATTCTGAAGCATCGGAGTTGATGCTGCCTGAATTCCAGTATTTGTCCCCATCTGAACTTGTTCTCTTTATAATTGGAAACAAGATGTAATGCCAGGAAGGACTTTCCACAGCCTTCTTTCCACTCCTCTAGAGCAGTCAATGCCTGGCACCTTTTAAAATGCTGCACAAGGGGACGTCGTGCTGAGCCTGTAGCTGCTGAGCTCCCTGGCAGGCTGCGCTCCAGCTCTGGTGGGATGCCCTGGGGCTGGAGTAGTGCTTGGTGCCCCCGCTCCGCTCCAGGCAATGGGCTGCAAAGCCTTTAAAAACAGCTTTGAATTTCCCCTGCTGCTAAAGCTGTTTTTTCCATATAAGAGTTCACTCAGAGATGAGGTTTCTGCAGTCATTGCTCTTAGCTTTTAGTTTACTCACTGTGCCAGTGCTCCTGAAACCTGATCTGGAGTCTCAGCTTTCAGGAGTGAAAGTGTGACTCTGTTTACCTTCCATGACGTTTGGCAGTCGCAGAGACGTTGTGGGTGTATGTCACCATCCTCTGAGAGACACTGGGCTGGTGGTTGGGACTATAACCTGATTTTGTTTGGGGTAGCACAAACTGAAAAGGATGTTACTTCCATCTGTAGCTTTGTTTGCTGTCCCTTCTCAGATCAATTATTAAGGCTGAATCCTCCCAGTTCCACTACCTCCCTGAACTGTACTCCCCACTTCCAAATCTCTTCTTGCTACAGTATTGAGGATTTAAGTCCTTTCTGTCTTTTTCCTTCTCCCAGAAAAAGGGATAATTAAATCCCAGCGAGTCTTTGATGTGCTGCTGGCTACTGACAGAGGTCACTACATCAAATATTTCCCATACATGGATTCTCCTCAATCTATCGGTGAGTAACTTAAGGCAAAGTGTCACCGCTTTTACATTGTGCACATTGCTACGCTTGTCACACTGACAGAGGGGCACGACATGGCTTGGCAGGTCCAAGTTCTTTGTGCTAGGTGTTCCCTGCCCAGAACAGGGAGGCCACAGGAGGAGGTTTTCGGACAATGAAGTGCTTTAGTGTGGCAAAAGAGAAGAGTGTTTTCATATTTTTAGGGGAAAATAAAGAACTGCTCACATTGGTAATTTTAACTGTAATTTCTTTATCGCATAAAGAAAGTGGAGAACAGTGACAAGTGGCATTCCTCAGGGGTCAGTGCTGGGCCTGGTGTTGTTTAACATCTTAGTTGGGGGACATGAACATGGGATCGATGCACCCTCAGCAAGTTCCCCACTGACACCGAGCTGTGTGGTGGGTGACATGCAGGAGGGCAGGGATGCCATCCCGAGGGACCAGAACAGGCTGGAGAGGTGGGACTGTGCTAACCTCATGGAGTTCAACAAGGGCAAGGGCAAGGTCCTGCCCATGGGTCGGGGCAATCCCCAGCACAAATCCAGGCTGAGCGAGGAGCAGCTGGAGAGCAGCCCCAAGGAGAGGGACTTGGGGGTGTTGGTGGGAGGAAAACTGCCTGTGAGCCAGCACCGTGTGCCCACAGCCTAGAACCCACCCGTGCCCTGGGCTGCAGCCAGAGCAGGGGGGGCAGCAGGGCCAGGGAGGGGATTCTCCCCCTCTGCTCCGCTCTGGGGAGACCCCCCTGCAGTGCTGGGGCCAGCTCGGCAGCCCCCAATAGCAGAAGGACACGGAGCTGCTCGAGCGGGGCCAGAGGAGGCCACGGAGATGCTCGGGGGGCTGGAGCAGCTCCTCTGGGAGGCCGGGCTGAGAGAGTTGGGGGGGGTCAGCCTGGAGAAGAGAAGGCTCCGGGGAGACCTTCGAGCAGCCTCCCAGTGCTTAAAGGGGGGACAGGAAAGGTGGCGAGGGACTCTGGATCAGGGGGTGGGGATAGGACGAGGGGTGACAGTTTTAAACTGAAAGAGGGGAAGATTTAGATGAGGTATTAGGAAGAAATTCTTCCCTGTGTGGGGGGTGAGGCGCTGGCCCAGGGAGCCCAGAGCAGCTGTGGCTGCCCCCTCCCTGGAAGGGTTCAAGGCCAGGTTGGACGGGGCTGGGAGCACCCTGGGCTGGGGGAAGGTATCCCTGCCAGGGGCAGGGGGGTTGGCACTGGAGGGGCTTTAAGGTCCCTTCCAACACAAAGTTCTATAATGATAACTTTTGTCACCCTTTTCCTTTTAGGGTACAAGGCTACAATCAGTGCACCACATATGGTAAGATGAAACTTTTCAGAGAAATGGAGGAAATTATTTGCCATTTTTTATTTTATTTTTTCTTAAATACTAAAGTAGAAAGGTGAAAAGGATCCTATGGGCACGATTATCATGCTGCTTTCTTTAGGCACTGCATACGTGAAGCTTTTTCCTTTTTAAGAAGAGTTTGCCCTATACTCTAAGTTGCTTTTAAAAGTATGTTTAGACAGGAATTCTGTGCAGCTGAGGCTAGCCCTTAATGTCCATTTTTTGCATGAGACCTCTTTTTCCCTGCTGCTTCACATCTGAACCTCTTCCTAAATGCTATTCTGCAAAAATATTTTCCAGATCAAACACTTGAATTTCACTCTGAATGTCAGGCAAAATGCCAGGTGTGCTGTGTTTAAATCAGAGCAGATAATGCTTAGAACAAGAAGTTTTAGGAGAGGAGACTGAAATGGGATGTTTCACACCTCCTTGTTGTCCACCCAGCATGCCCACGCACTGGAATTGCTGAAGGATCAGCTTGTGGAAGGTGCAAAAGCGCTGGATGTCGGGTCTGGAAGCGGCTATCTTACAGCTTGCTTTGCCAGGATGGTAAGCTCGCGGCGCTCCACTTCTAGCTGGTGAGGTGCATCGGACGGGTCACTTGCTGAGCTGGTGTGTGCTTTTTGCAGGGAGAGGAGGAAGTGGGAGGAGGGGGTAAACTCCCAGACCAGCTTGTAGTAAACCCAAATTCAGTCATTTTTTGAATCTAAATGAATGCTGTATCTGCTGTGAGCTGTTTTGTACATTACCCGGTTCAGGTCAAGGGGAGTGTGTTAATCTACTGTGCAAGTCCGTTGTAGGTTCTTTTTCATTTCCTTCTTAATTAGTCACAGACTGTTTCTTTGTTTTCTAAACTCCTGAAATTATTTTCTAAGATAAAGCTGGTCAAGTTATTCTTCTTAGGATGTTAGTTTGTCAAGAACTGGCCCTGCCATGGAAGCTGCTAATTCTACCAAATAATTATTTATTTGGAAATGACAGATTATTAAGAATCCCCACAGGCAGTGTCTGTGTATCCCTCAAGTAACTTATACAACTGGGACTACTCAGCCTTAAAAGCAAAGGGGCAGAGTATTTGCAACTCCTGTTCAGAAACTCTGTTCTTAAGTTTCTTCCTGGAAATTCTCCAATCCCCACAGTAACTTGCCCTGTAAGATGCATCTCTGTACATATAGAAGGTATATAGGTGCTTGCTGGTTTTCTTTTCAGATGGGCCCGACAGGGAAAGCTGTGGGTGTAGAGCACATTAAAGAGTTGGTACATGAATCCATCAGAAACGTCCAGGAAGATGATCCAGCTTTGCTCAGCTCTGGCCGTGTCAAGCTTGTGGGTGAGCTCCCCGGGCTCTCGGTGCTCACTCTCTCCGGTGAACGTGTTAGCTCTGGCTGCCTGCAGAGCTCTGCCTCTCTGAGTGGTTGTTCCCGATTGTGTTGGTGCTTGCCACGGTGTTGCCAGAAACCACTGGCTAAGTGAGCACTGTGCCACACTGACCTGAACACTGCCATGTAAGCAAGTAGTATTTAACATTACAGGCAGTCTTACCATACACCTTGCTTCCAAGTGTGTAGTGACTATCTTGATTCAGTAAGAGATGCTTTTTGGAGGAGAGTGGCTGTACCACGTCTGGGCTTTAGTTTATCTGAACGGGTCTGCACACACTGTTGTGGTTTTTGGGGAGGATAACTTGAGTTAGCTTTTTCTGTATCTGGAGTCTCAAGCCTGCACAAAGCCACTGCATTGTTGAAAGGCCCTCCTGGCTTTGTTCCCTCTTCTAGCATGGCTCTGTTCCAGAAATCTCTCCCCCTTTTTAAAAAGCAAACCAACAAAATTCAAATTCCCGTCACAATCTTGTTACAAAGCTTTCATTGTTTAGATTTCAGTTGAAAGGATATAGGAAGAATTATTTTTTGCATGGAGTTGTTATCAGAACAAAGGTCTTTTCTGCACGCTTTTTCTTCCTGCAGTGGGAGATGGCAGGCAGGGGTACCCCGAAGAGGCTCCTTACGATGCCATTCACGTTGGAGCAGCAGCAGCAACTGTACCCAAGGAGGTGAGAGCGATCATGCTAGATGTCTTGTTGTGGGCTGCCTGCATCAGTAGCTGTGAAAAAACTAATTAGGGAACCGCTGGAAGCTGCTTTTTCTGTCTGTTTTATATGGAGCTGGCAAGTTTGTGCTTTTCAGTGTGTCATGACCTTCACAGCACAGCTTATTTCTGTTGTCTTTTTTTTTTTGGCTCTGCTCATTCTGGTTTCTCTTGCTTGCCAGTTGCTGAACGAATTGAAGCCGGGAGGTCGATTAATATTGCCTGTTGGTCCCGAAGGTGCAAACCAAGTTCTGATGCAGTACGACAAGACCAGCGATGGGCAAATCATTGAAACACAACTGATGGGCGTGATCTACGTTCCTCTGACTGATAAGGAAAAGCAGTGGCCTCGGTAAAAATTTGCTCTCCCTTGAGGAACGTTTCTTCTTCACAGCTGTCCCTGTGAGCTTGCTCTACTTCACTGCTGGCTTTACTGAGTCCTGGATTCTTAGCAGATGCTGCTTGTAAAAGAGAAGAGGCACAGCAGGAGAGCAGGATAATTTTTTGTTAGATAGGGCTTGCAGACAGAGGACTTGAGCTTTTATATTTTTTTTGGAGCCTGTGTACTTTCATAAACACCGTAGCTGTGTTGGTTGTTGCTGAGCTGAAGGCTGCGAATAGTAACTGTTGGTTTTTCTTTGCCTCAGGGATGAATTCTGACAGATGGATGGATATCTTTAAAGTGACCTCAGAAAGCTCATGAATGGGACTTATGACTGTAGATGGTCTGTACGGTTCTGCTTTTTGAACGGAAGCTTTATCAGTAGGTGTGCTTGCGACGGCAAGTCCTGTTTTAGTAAACCTTGTTGCGGAGGGATGGAGAAAAAGGTGTTTCTCTAGGAGCAGGGGCAGGCTCTCGGAGCCATGCCTGCTTCCAGACAGTGACTGGATCCGGGTGACTGCAGCTGCCCTCTCTGATAAGCTATAGATAACATCTGCTCACAGAGAATTCCAAAAGCAGGCAGAAGTACTTAAACCTTCACTAAAAAAAACGCTTTGACTCCTCTGCCTACTTCTTGAGTAAGACACAATTACTGTTTCAGAGCAGCGGTCTACCCTGATTTGTCAAAGTTTAATTACGAGAGCGTGTTCTCTTCCTGTCCTGCATCAACTAATTTAATCTTCGGTAGCAACACTGAGAATTCTGGGTTAAAATCCTGGTCTCTCGCTGTTTCCCGGCTGTGCCTTTCCTTCTCCCGCTGGCGCTTGGCCTCGCGGGCGGCTGAACCGGGAGGGTTAAGAGCGGCGGGTGGGCGGCAGGGAGACTCCAGGGGCTCCTCTGGAGGGGTGGGAGAGCCGCGTTCTGCCGGTAAATAACGCCGTTCCGGTAAAGAAATAAACCCGCTCTGCCCGCGCGCGCCCCGGGCCTGAGGGCGAAGGGGGCGGTGACTGCCCGCGCACGCGCTGCGGGGCGTGGCCTCGCGGCGATTGGCCGCGGCCACCCGGCGTCCCGCGCATGCGCCGCGCCATGTGGGCTGGGCGCCTGCGTACTGCGTCGAGGCGGGGAAGCAGCGGCGCCGCGCCGCCGCCTCAGCCCCGGCTCCGCAGCGGCATGGCGGCGGCGGCCGGCCCGGGCGGGGAGGAGGCCACGGCGCCGGCCCCCAAGAAGCGGCGGCTGGCGGCCGGGGAGCGCTACGTGCCGCCGCCGCGGAAGCTGAGTGCCGGGGTGAGCTTCGGCGCGGCGCATTTCGCCGAGACCTCGTACTACTTCGAGGGAGGGCTGCGCAAGGTGCGGCCTTACTACTTCGACTTCCGCACCTACTGCAAGGGCCGCTGGGTGGGCCGCAGCCTCCTGCACGTCTTCGGCACCGAGTTCCGCGCCCAGCCCCTCGCCTACTACCGCGCCGCCGCCCGCGCCGGCCGCCTCCGCCTCAACGAGGAGCCCGTGAGCGACCTGGACATCGTGCTCAAGGTGGGCACCCCAACACCCCCGGTCCGGGGCAGGCCCGGCCGGGAGCCCCCCCCCCACACACACACACCCCCGGGGCTGGCCCGGCCGGGAGCCCCCCCCCCCCGCCACACACACGCACTCCCGGGGCCGGGCCTGTGAAGCTGAGAATTCCGTCTCAATAGCCGTCATAGCTATTAAGCAGGTATTCTTTATTCGACGTGTTGGACACATAGGGGATCATTCCTCCTAACATGCATACCACTGTAGTGGAGTTTATGGTATTTATACACAATTCACTTACATAGTTCTGTAGTTTCCAAGAACTCATTACAATATTAATTACTTTTCCGATAAATCATTATAATATGTTGTAACCTACTTCCACATGCTCACTACAGTCTCTAGGTGGTCTTCTAGGACCTCCGGTGGTTTTTACTTCATCCTCCTCATCTTCATCACACTGTCCTTTCTAGGAACTTGGTTCTGTCTTCCCCTTTCCCTTACAGGTGAGACCACAAAACCACTTGCATCAGGTAGTTCTGCAAGCTTCAGCATCCTTCTTCCATTATCTTGTTTCTCCTAGATAGGAGCGTACCTAAATCATGTAAGCCAACAGGCTCAAGGCTCAAGCCTGTTAATCATAAATAAAGTGTACCTTGTTCCTTTGTTAGGCAGATTCCTAAGCAGAACTATGAACAAGATGTTATTACACTAAGCAGCCTTTTAAAGACACCTTGCTGCTACTGACAATTTGTATTTTTCCATATGTCTTCCTTCTTCATCCATCTGGGAGCCCCCCCCAGCCCAGGTCTGGCCCCCCCCCCCGGAGACATGCTGGTTAACGAGCGTGGCATAACAGGCCAGTAACCCAGCACAGGAGACCACAGCAATAATAAGTGTCACCCTGATGATCACCAGTGTGGTGAAATCACGCTGTGACAGTGCGAAAACCTGGGGTGTTTAAGGGGAGGTGGGGTTTCCCGGGGAGTCCTTCCCAAGGGGTCAGGAGCACACGGATGCAGCAGAGCCAGCGTGCCCCGTGCCTTCCTGCTCAGCCAGCGGGCGAGGCACCAAGGTGTACTGAAGGCAGCTCATCAGGTTCAAATGGTGATGCACAGAGTTGTTGTGCTAAATCCTAGGTTTCGGGACAAAAAGGCTTTAGTTTCCTTCCCCATTGCCTCAATATCAAGCCCCTATTGTGTGTGGTCAGGTGGGATAGTTGTGCAGGCTGGACTCATGCTAATTCTCTGGTTTTCTTGCAGAATAACGATTTTCTCAGGAATACAGTGCATCGCCACGAGCCACCGGTCACTGCCCAGCCTATCCAGATCTTGGTGGAGGACGATGAGGTGGTGGTTGTGGACAAACCATCCTCTTTGCCAGTACATCCCTGTGGCAGGTTTCGTCACAACACAGTCATCTTCATCCTAGGCAAAGAGCATAACCTGAAGGAGTTGCATACCATTCACCGGCTGGATCGTATGACCTCGGGGGTTCTTATGTTTGCCAAGACCGCAGAGGTGTCCAAGAGGATCGATGAGCAGGTTCGGGAGAGACAGGTGAGAGCCAAAGGCTGCAGTGGTTTTTGGAGTGTCTTGTACAGTATTTTCTTGAAACAGGTTAGGTCTGAAGTCAGCCAAATCTGTGGTCTAAATGAGCACAGGTTCACAAAACAGCTTGTGGTCATCTTACTGTTATTGTGTGAAGCATGAAAGGCATCAAAAGAAAGAGACTGAGTAAAAATGTAATTGATTTTGGTAATATTAGACTGACAGGATCCCCTTCCCTAAGGGGCTGTGCAAACTGACTGGGATTGGGTAAAACGTCTCTGTAAGTGTAAATGTGTCAGTCATCTAATAATTTTTCAATTTTAAAAGTTTTAGAAGTCTTTCTCATTTTTCCAGTGGCTCTAGACCCAAACGGAATGGTAGCTGTAGGGTACTGGCTTCCAGGATTTGCTTCAAGGCCATAAACTGAAGGTCGCTGAGAGATCTCTTGAATTTAATATGAGGAAGATAGGCCAGACCCTTGTGTTCTTGATTTCCCGACTACTTGGAGAAAGCGTGAGAGAAATTTGGCTTTAAATAGCTGATTTTATTTTTTTTTCCCTTTCCTGTTCAGTTGTAATAAAATTTGGGCAGTGTGTTGCCTGCAAATATATTTCATTGAAGAGAAAGAGAGGAGTAGCTAGGATGAGACTTGGGTTTAATCAGGATGGAGACAGTCTTTAGTTCTGCTTTCTGAGAGTTACTCTTGTGTCTCCCCATAGCTGGAAAAGGAGTATGTCTGTCGTGTGGTGGGGGAGTTTCCAGAACATGAAGTGGTCTGTGAAGAGCCCATATTGGTTGTTTCTTACAAAGTGGGAGTGTGCCGCGTGGACCCGAAAGGGAAATTCTGCAAAACCATCTTCCAGAGACTCAGTTACAACGGCAAGACCAGTGTTGTCAAGTGTCTTCCACGTACAGGCCGCACGCACCAGATCCGGGTCCATTTGCAGTATTTGGGGCATCCTATTGTTAACGACCCCATCTATAATATGGAAGCCTGGGGCCCCGACAGGGGCAAGGGTGGCAAGATCAATAAAACGGATGAAGAACTCCTTAAGGCGCTAGTAGAAGAGCATCGTTCTAAACAAAGCCTGGATATCTTGGGTATTGCGGAGGAGGACTTGAACTCCAATGCTGAAAATGAAGAGACTGGTAATTTAAGTGACTGCACAAAGTCTGTGCAGGCTGATCCTGTAAATGAGAACTCTTGCCCTTCTGAGGATGCTAAGGGTCCTGAGAGAAATGACATAGCAGTTTGTCCCCTGTACTCTGATATCAACTTGGAAGCGCTCAAAAAAAATAAAGAACTCGGTTCATGTGAGAATCAGGATGGGCAAACAGGAGAAAAGAGTTCAGAAGAGAAGGACCCTTTATGTGTGGAGTGTAAAATTACAAGGCGGGACCCATCTCCCAAGGAGCTGGTGATGTACCTGCATGCCCTGCGCTATAAGGGAGCGGAGTTTGAGTATTGCTCCAAGATGCCTGAGTGGGCAATGGAGGACTGGGAGGAGTGACTGCAGACACCTGACACCTACGGACGTTGCTGGCCAGGAAGGCATCTTGTAAAGACCTAAGATTTACTTGTTCAGTGTGGTGGAGGTGAACAACCTGTCTGTGACTTGAGATGGGGTGGGAGGGGTTGGGGCTGGAGAACTGTCCTGACTGCCAACAGGCGCTGCAAAAGGTGGGCAGGAAGATGGGACTAGGACACGGGATTTATGCTGCCCTTCAGTGAACTAGCACTTCAGGGCAACAAACACCACTCGGCACGGGCAGCTTTGCCTTTCACCTCAACGTATTCTGGGTCTGCTGTCGATTATCTACACAGATAATTAAGTGCATGCACTTAAGTCAGCAACTGATTTTTCTTCTGGCCTGCTGTGTTCTTGTATGTTACAATAAGAGCTGGTGGAATATCATTCAATATGCTGGATGTCATGTCATACACAAAACTATTTTTACTGTATTTTATTGCCAGACTGATTTTAAAACTCAAACATTATCACTGACAACACTGTAAGGTAAAACCAGAGCACTGTGAAGCTGATCCATTTTGTGCTTGCTGTTTGTCAGCAAGGTAGACTTTGCTTTGAAATTGCTTTTTCAGTATTCATTGAAATAATTACTTAAAGTTAGTAACTCTAGGGACTGATCTCTTTATATTGGGTCTATTTTTGGAGGTACTAGTCCCCAGATTTTGTCTTTATGAGATTTATAAGGAGACTGATTTAGTAGGCTTTTTGCCTTTCTGTTTTGTTCCCTCCCTGTGATGTATCTCCAGCCCTCTCAAAAAAGCTCTGGCTTCTCTTCTGAGAACCTATCGATCTCTGTCCCTTGTGCCTCATTGAAAAAATCTTCATGCTTGAGGAAAAAATCCAAAGTAGAGGTCAGTCTGCCAACTTATATTTTTTTATTTCTTTTTAAACTGTACTATAGGCAGGCTGTTTCTGATTGGTATGGAATTGGTTTTAGTATCACTTCAGTGTGACAATCAGCTTTAAAGAAAAACAAAAGCTGTTTTATGAACCAGAAGACCTTTTTTAAATACACGTTTTATAGTGTTTCCAGAATGATAAATCTCACTACAGTTCTTATTTTCATCAGTGTTTATGTGGTCACTTCTTGGCCTCTGGGAGGATTATTATAATTCTGCTGTCTCAGGTTCTTTTTTATCTTTTTTTTTTTTTCTCTTTTCCATATGTGTCACCAGTGGTAATGACACCCCAGCTCCAGTGACTGCTGCAGACAATCAGACCCTTTACCTGGGAAGAGCTGTGCTGTTTCAGGACCGTTTGCAGACAGTGCTCTCCAGCCCTGTCGTTCCATAACCAGCTCTCTCCACACCCATTCCTACATAGGGTGCACGAATAGCATTCTACACATTTAAAATATTACAGAAGCCTTTCTAAAAGTGAAGAAAGGAATCCAGAGGAGCTGATAGTGTTCAGCAAGTGTGGCAACAGAATTGCTGGAGTGTGGTCTGGTCTCATATGCTCTGTCTTTGTTGTACCGTGCTCTGAGGAGCTCTGGCTCTTTCTCAGCCTTCCAAGACATGGTTTTCATGCAGATCTTTCGTTACTGGTTTGCCCATTTCACACAGGTTACTGGAGAACTCCCTGCTTCCCGAGGGTCTGAAAGTGGAATGCTGGGCAGTGAAGGTTGGCCGGGCCCGCAGGAATGACTGCCTTCCTCCTTGGCAAGGCTCCTAGAAACACTTGTTGATGATACCAGGATCAGGACTTGTGTACCAAAACAGAATAAACCAGTGCTTCCTTCTCAAGTAGCCAAGTGTTTTCTTTCTCCCCTGGATCATCCAACTGATGTGTTGAATGTTTCCATGAAAGTTCACTCAGGCTTGAGCTTTGCTCTTCCACATCTTGCCAGGGGTCTCATGTTTATAGTTTAACTACAGATCTTATTTTATTTCTTGCCATTACTTATTGAGGCCAGGTCTAGTACTTAGCTACAGACAGCTTGTTAAACAAAGGTGATAAAAGGTCCCCTGTGTTTGAGAGATGATGCTAAAAATTAGTGTCACCCAGATTTTTCATGTACTGAAACATTTCATGTATCTGTAAATGAAACTTGGGCACCTTCAGTGTATAAATAAGGGTGTCTGCAGCTGTAAGTAGTTTTCAGGGGCAAGGAAAAGAGAGTAGATTTAGGGGCAAGTTTTAAATTTGGCTTTGAGGTATCCCAAGTTACATTGGGGATTTTGGGGGTATTTTTATTTCTTAAGAAATAAGCATCTGACATGGCTTTTACTGACTCCTGCCACTAGATGGAGACTGAAGGGCCCGGTGTCAACTGGAGTTCAGTGCTGTTTTTCTGGCTGTGGATAATGACTGCAGTTCGCATCTTTTAATTATCACACCTTGCTGGTCAAGAAACCCGTGGGCTTCTGTTTTCAAGATACTTTGAACAATGAAAATTTAAGGTTGATTTCAGAAGGAGCCTACCACCAACTGTATCATATTTCAGTTCAGTGCTGTACATGCTGTGAACATCACAAGTCAACATTTGCTGTTTTGCTAATACGGAAAGTGTTAATTTTAGAAGTGTCTTGTGATAAATTCTCTTGTAAGAGTACATCTGAGGTAAATACCAGGGCCTGGTTGTGGGGTGATTGTGGGCATAAGGTATCTGTTGAAAGTGTAGGTCCTAGAAGTCCTTTCTCAAATACAGTTTTATTTTGATGCATCTTTTTATGATACAGCGAAGGACCGGGAGGCTGTGCATCTTCTGGCAAACCCTGACGGGCACTTTGCTGTGCCTCGTCTACTCATTGTGTAGCATTGGCTGAGAATTAACTCCTAAGACATTACCAAGGTGTCCATCTTTGGCACAATAGCAATTTTCCAGCTGCATTTTTAACTGGTTCATTTTGGGTGCTGTTTGTGAGGCTATGGAGTCATGATCCGGCCATTCTCTGCACAAGATTTAGTATAATCTAATTTCTGCAAGGATTTAAGCCTAGTTAAACCTGCTGCAGACTGTGCCTGGAGGGCTCACAGAGCTGTTACAGCAAATTATGTGTGAGAGGCCTCTTCCCCAGCTGCTGTGATTTGTTTAACCTGTCCATGGAGCAGGGCAGTCTCTCTCCTGGGAGCTCTGTGTTTCATTAACTTGTACTTCCAGACTTTTAGAAAGTTAACTATGGACGGATTAGGCAAAGAGGAAAAGCTTTCCTGTATCTCTTCAATACAGTGATTTATGCTTTTCAAATCATTGTAACTTCAAGAAAAGCAAGGCCAAGTGCAATAATTACTTTCCGAAAGCAAACCTTGATGTAACTTTAAGTGCGGCTCTGGGCTCAGTTTGGCTGGAGCTCCCTTGTCTTGCAAATATTTACCCAAAGCTCACAGTAAGGACGAGGCCACCCCAAACACGACAGTTTGCTGGGACTGCAAGAGGAGAATCAGAAGTTTGTTGCCAGCATCATCACAGCTCGTGGCTCCACGCCGCAGCTGGTTTCTGAGGAGAAGAGAGGGAAGGCGGCCTGCCCTGCCGCAGGCAGCGATCCCACAAGGATCCAGACTCAGGGGACGCTGCCCTGGCACTGCCGCAGCCCTGGGCAGCAGCTTTGCTTATTCTTATTTCGGGGAGGGTTAAAGTATCAGCCCCAGGGAGGCGGGAGCCTCAGGGGTGTCCGCGCTGCTCCTCACACCTTTCCCTTCGCCGCGGAACGGGGCTGCCGCGGGAGGGAGCTCCCCTGAGCGCCTCAATCCCCTGACAGGTGGCGGGATAAAAAAAAAAAAAAAAACAAAAATAAAAAATGGTGGCGAGAAAAACTTAATTTCTCGACGAGGATGGGATTCGAACCCACGCGTGCAGAGCACAATGGATTAGCAGTCCATCGCCTTAACCACTCGGCCACCTCGTCACGACGGCTTGCTTTCTCAGCCGACCTATAAGGAAGAAGGCCCACCGTTCCTGTCGTCTCCTGCCTGCCGCTCCCGTGGCAAGATGGCGGCGGCGGCTCGACCTTTCGGCGGCTCAGCGCGGAGCGAAGCCGCGGCGCAGGGCCCAGGCAGCCCTGAGCGGGCCGGGCGCTGCCTCCGCAGCTTCACGCCTGCGGCCGCGGGGCGCGTTGGAGAGGGCGCACCCCGAGAGGGCGGGCAGCGGGCCTGGTCCCTCGGAGGTCGCCATGTTGTACGGAGCGCCGAAGGGGGGCGCCATGCTGCACGGCGGCGCGGCTGTGTCGGTGTGACGACGGCGAGTTGGCGCGGCGCGCAGGCGTGGCGGGCGGCGGTTAGATTTGAACAGCGAGGAGGCGGCGGCCCAGCCCTATGGGAGCGGGGGGCAGCGGCGGAGGGGAGCGGGGAGTCACCCGCCCGCGGCTGGGCTGAGGGCTGTGGCCGGAGCGCTGGGTGAGAGCGGCCGAGGACGGGTCCCGGCGAGGAGGGAGGTGAGGAGAGGCCGGGCCGGGGAGCGCGGGAGGCGACGGCCGTTGCCTGTCGCTAGGGCGGATCCCGCAGGGTAACGACCGGTGAGGGGAGACCGAGGGCGGGAGGAGAAGGTGGGTCCCCGGGGGCGGAGAGGCTTCCCCTTCCCACCTGCGACCCGGAGCCTCCATCAGCGAGGTGGGAGGAGGGCTGGGCGGCCTCGGGCCGGGGCCTGAGGGCATTTCACCGGGGGTAGCCGGCGTCGGGGACGGCCTCGATGCGTGAGGGGAATCGCCTGATAAACTGCCACGTAAATGCCGTCTTGATCAACGCGAAGTAGTTCACCTTTGGGAAGACAGCCATGTAAGCGATAATGAGGTGTAATTTGGCACCTGGAGATCGTTCTGGACGGTGCTCCCAGGCTGTCAGCCCTGTTAAAGGGGTGAAGCAAGCACAGAGGATCGTGAGGGAAACAGCTTGAGAACAACAAGGAAGAGTAGAGAGAGAGACAATAGGTGCTGACTCTTAAGGAGGGGGACCGAGTGGGCATCAATAAGATCATGAGTGAACTGAAAAAAAATTATGGAGTGATTCTTCTTGTTGCCAGTGTGGAACTGGAGGGTATGTAGTTATCAAACATGAGAATAAAAAGAGATGCTTTTTCATAAATAGCATAACAAAGCATTTCAACTCGACACCATGTGCTTGTAGGTCAAAGATAGGTAAATAAGTTCAAAAAAGGATTAGAGAATAAGTACTGAATTTATTGATTGGGCTGTGAATTCCAGATTAATAGACCTCCTAATAACAGACTCCTAGCAGACTAAATGGGGCTTTCCATAGCCCCGCTCTGCTCTTTTGTTCTCCTCTAGACACCTGTATGCACGGGCATATTTTATATCACTTCTTAGTTGTGTTTAGCCTGATCCAGTGCAGCAATTCTTACATCCAAAGCATTCCGTGGGGATGCCTGCCTGAAAGCTGCGCCTCAGTTTTGTTGCCTCAGAGCTGCCGGCCCTGAAAGCCAAAGCCTCTCGGGCTGCCTTTTTGAGCGGTACTAACCTGCTACATCTCTGGTGAGAGGAATTACTCTGCAAAAATAAAACAGTCTCTGTCTCCTGTTTGTTATAACTTAACATTTAACGGTGTCTTCAAAATAGCAGGTTTTTCTATTTAAGCAAACAGAAATTTACTGGGGAGAAAAATCTGTTGGTTAAGTTTTCTCATCATGCTTTCTTGCCCTCCCTAAATATCATCTTTGAGCAAACTGATATTTCTGAAAAGATTGTTCCTTTTACCTTCACCTGTAACTCAAACTCTTCTCTGCCTTGTGAGCAATATGCCAATAATATGCAGTAGCATTTTATCTTTATTTTTTCTACATAAGACTTAGTTTTAGCTTGGAAAATAAGAGTCAGTTTGTGGTTTAAATCACTGACAATGAGGTAACTGGCTTGGTGGACAAGGAAGAGCAGTGGATGTTGTTTATCAGAGGGAAATTATCAATGTGTGTGAATACCTGATGGGTTCAAAGAAGAGGGAGCCTGGCTCTTCTCTGTTGTATCTAGTGAAAGAACAAGAAGCAATGCGCACAAATTGTAATACAAGAAATTCCGTTTAAGCATAAGGGGGGAAAACAGTGAAAATGGAACCAGTTTTCCAGAAACACTACAGGGTTTCCTCTCCATAGACACTCAGTATCCAGAGAGATCTGCTGTAGCTTTGAGCAGGGGGGTGGGCTACGTGGTCTCCAGAGGTCCCTGCAGATCCGAGAGATCCAGTGAGTCTGTGAAATGCAAAAGCTGAGCACTTCTGCGCAGACCTCTCTAATTGTAAAACTTAGTTGTCAGGTTTGCAAATCACTTAATCCTTGCTTAGGCAAGTGTTTCTCTTACAACGTTGCTTCCTGAGGTTTAGCGAGGAGAGAATAAAGTAATGTGCTAAATGCTGTCAGACCATTTATAGCTCTCCTGTAAGTATACCTTGTGTAGTTATTGATGGAGGGATGCATGTACATAAAGATCATCACTGAAATCTAGAAAATTGCATGTATTGATCTTCTACTGTTGATTCTGTGGTATGTTCTTTTGGTGGTCTTTGTCAGGTCCATGGGAGACTGAAGTTAAGAGGAATATTAACCTGGTATTCAAAGCCCTGAATTTTGTTATGGTTTACAAGAAATGCCAGGCAATAAAAAAAAGTCTGTGTTAGCACTGGCAGTTAACATTGTCAGTGTGGGTTAACTGATTTTATGCCCTTATGCAGCTTTTGGTAAGTGGTGTAGTTTTCTGTGCTAGTGGGAGTTATTTGCATTGACATAAGATATTCTTGGGGTAGGGGGAGAATTAGTGATTGAAAATTGTCTTGTGTGTCAGAGCAAAGTAGCAAACTTTGTATT